GAATATTAAATTACTTCGTAATTCTGAAATTTAATATGATTTATTAATCTATAAATCATAAACGATTAATAGTGTATATGTAGAAAATGTATTCAAAATTAATTTGTAAAGGATCTTTATATGTAAAAAATCTATTATTTGTATAACTAAATATTTTAGACTCATATTATAAAAAATTGTAAGTTTTTATTCTTTATTTAGCTTTTAAACAATATCGCCAACTCAATAGGATTATACGCTAGTCACCAATAAATTTGCTTGTACTGTTTGCTTAGAAATCGTATAACTCCGAAATATTATTTAACAATTCGACTGTAACTTTAAAATTATAATGTTAGATTATCCGATAGATTATTTCTCTTCCAAATAATAATGTAGTATTTGTCTTAGTAGAGGATAGAATAAATTTTATTGTTTAAACTGGTACTACATAGTTCGTTCAATTGGCTCTTCTTATCATTGTCGAAGTTTAAACGACTTGAATTTGAGAAGTTAAGCTTCATTATAAATATCGAACTTATTCTGTGTAAATGAAAATTTTGTTCTTTACAATTAGGAGTATGAGAACATCAGGTTAGCATTCGTCTGTCAAAAGAAATTCTTTTCGATATTTTCTTAAATAGTCGATTATTATTCGTTTAAAAGACAATTACGAAATCTTTTTGTCAATTCTCTTTTACATATTAAGAGATGATGAAATAACATTTTAATTTCATTATCGATTAAGCGATCAATTAATTCTGTCAATGTATCTACGATCTACGGCTTAATATTCTAAATAATTGTCTAAATATTGTCTTTAACAAAAAAAAAATCGAAAAAACGCACCTTGAAATTTTCTGTGATTATCGTTTTATTTATTCATAATGCAACCACATTTTTTTTATAAAATATCGTAATTTGAAAATATTTATAATGGAAAATGTTTATTATTATTAATTAACAAATAATAATTATTAATAGAAGTCTATATCAACTTGAGAAGAAATTTCTATCACATTTGCTTTTTAATAATAAAATAATTTATGCATATACATGGGAAAGCTTTTTATGTTTATAATTAAGTTATTTTATAGTTGAATAACATATATTTATATGTTATTATATATAATATATAATATATTATATATATTTATAATATTATGTATATATAATATAATATAATGACTTATAATATATATATATATATTATATATATTAAATATATTATATAATATTATATTATTATATATAATATATATAATAAAATATATTAATAACATATAATATTATGATTAGAAAATATTATGTGTTTTATATCCTTATAAAGATAGAAGTATTTTATTCTCTAACTTTGTATAGCGTGATGTGTACATTTAGAATATCTTAATATATTTTATAAATAATACTGCTCATTATTTTTCTTTTTTTTTATTATTTTTTTTTAATTACATATAACTAAATTTGAAATATAGACATTATATTACATATGATCATTCAACTTATTGAAGTGTAAGTTAATCTCTATTAAGAATATTATTCATTGCCAATGAAAATCGTTGCTTATGACGTCTGTAATAAAAATTCTATAATAATTAATACTTGTATGTATGTTCACTTTGATTTCCCCAAATCTGGAATTACGTCTATGCTAACTCCAATGATTTTACGGTGGTGTATTACAGGTCCACCAAAATCTCCCTGAAATATTATGAACTATTAATATGCGCAATAAACGCTATTTACTCATTATTAATATTTTAAAAATTCTCTGGACTATTAATAAAGGATAAATATTGATATTTTAGAAATTTGTAATTTTACTTGAACAGAATCATTGTGAAAGTTCTGTGTTGACTGAGCTTTCTTTGATAAAATAAATCTTACTCGTTTTAATATTATAAATGGTTCGCTGTGAGTGCAGAAGTGCCTTTCATGAATTTCCATTACTTGACCCAGAAGTTGCATTTGATCTTCACATTGACGATTTGATAAAACTTTCACCTGAGCTGTTCGCAAATTCGGTGATATAAAACGTCGATGGTTTACACCCCATCCTACCAAGTCAATGTATTCATCAACTAAATTATGGAACGATACTGTAGATAAAACAGCTGGTTCAACGTTTCCTTGTATTTCATGCGTTAGCTATACAAATTCGATGTCAATATAATAGAATCGCTACTTTCTATTTTGTCTTTATAATTGAAAGATCGTTAACTTTTTCTGATTCATTTTATAAAAACGAATAAGAACTATAACAAAATTCAACAACTACATTTTTTATAAGATGTATCAGATACTTTATCAATCAATGCTAATCTTTAAATATTATATTATTAAAAAAACAATTTACCATTGTAACACTAATATCATTTTCTCTAAATAAAAGATGTCTATTTCTATAATTGCTCCACTCGTTAAACGTTATCCACCATAGAATAGTGTATGGCGAGGATGTGACTAATGAAATCGTTCCATGTAGAATAATAGTTTGATTTATTAATCTATTTTCAAGACATTGTGCAGCACTAAGTACATGACGTGTGGTAATAAGCGCTCCGCTACAAATATGATCGCGGGAAGGGCCGGCATTTACATTATTTATATTTTTAAATGCTACCATAAAAGGAAAGTTTCGAATGTGTGCGTTGTGCACATCTCTACCAATCATGGCATTAATAAGCGGAATGTTGTATTGTACACCTAAAGAATAATTAATATTTGATTATGAAACTTACGATATTAAACTAATTTATAATCCGTTATAATTATGTGATAATTCTTACAGAGTATTGCAGATACGGCTAGAAGTGAAAATATATTAAATCCCATACTAAAAATAAGAAAATTTAATGAGATGTTACGTATTTATGTTAAATATTTGAAAACCATAGGAAGGATCTTTGTAATATTGTATATGTTTACTTAATTGTTTGTATAATATTTAATTTAAAGAAGTACTTAATGTAAAATTATCACCTTAAGAACATATGGTGTATATTTTTTCAGGATATTCTATAATAATATTATAGATATAAGAATATTGTTTAAAATAAAAATATTTATTATCATGAGCTAAGGAGGGCCTGATTATTAAGATCGCATATTGAATTAAATTTCTTTCTTTTGGATATATTTTCACAATACAGTTTATCAAGTAATGTAATGAACATCCTATAATCTATAATTCTCAATACAATCATTGTAATAAATCACAACTTTTTAGTATAAAATATTTAGTCCTATATTAAGAACATTATTAAAAACTGCCGTATATACTCTAGATGAATAACATTTCCGACAAAATAATTAAATATAAATATAAATAATACCTTTTGAAATGAAGCAATTATGTAGGGACAAGTTGTAATTTAATTGTAAATATTTTTATTACTTGTATATTCTCCAAAAGTATACTAAACTTATGATCATTTAGCCTAAATGTTTAAACGTGTCGTTATAATTTTGCCGGAAAGATGAAATTCTTTTAGGACATTAAATCACAGGAACAGTCAATATATTAAATATAGAATTTGTAATAACACACAATTGTTTGATCTGTATTTCTATCTGTCCTGTTATTGTGTTGTATAACAAATAATAAATGAAATTATTAAAGCTGGTAGATGCAAAAGTATTATCGATTATTACCTACAAATACTAAACTATAAAGATGGCGAAATATATTATAACAATTTTATTGAATTCCTAACTTGATAACGTTCTAAATATCATAATGTCAATATTGTTACGTAAATTTAATCGATGTTTTTATATGAGAAGATATTCGTATTAAGTTTTGTAATTATATTTGTCTTTCCTCTATTATCATTCAAGTTATAAAAATTATATTATAAAAACTTATATAGATTTCACATTTAGTTTTTGATTTAAGAAATAGATAAACAATCATTTTAAATTTAATACTGAAAGTTTAACTTAATTATATACTTTGTAGGATTAAAATTAAAGACAGTATGAGTATATGTTGCACAATTAAATATTTAATTTTAATATTTATTTAATAATAACCGATATCTGTTTAACGTAATTGAACAATTAAATTGTATTTTTTTACAATGTTGAATTATCCAGTAGATTATTTCTCATATCAATAATAATATTGTATTTGCATTATTATAATGAAAAACAAATTTGATAATTTAAACATATAGTCCATAGTTCGGTTGATTCAGTCATTTTATTTTTGCCTAAATGTCAACGATTTTTATATAGATTATGTAATATTTTCTATGAGGTAAAGTTAAAAAAATTAATATTAAAATAATGCAAAACACCGTACATATATATTGGATTTTACTTTTGTTCGTATTTTCCAAAGCGATATATTTAATATTTGAAAAATTTTCGCCCATTGTTTGTTGGAATATATTAAATAATTATACTATTAACATTCTTTTTATAGGTTATAGGAAACTAATTAAGAAGTTTATCTGGAGGAATTAATGATTCTCCTATATCTTTTTCTGATCTATGATTGAATGAATTGAAAATAAAAATAATTAGTCAAAATTATGCAATATTATATCATTTATAATGGGTATATAAATAAATGTCAATAACACGGATACAAAAATAAATATCACATTTTTCATTTTTCCAAATATATAATTGTTCCTAGCCTGGAAATCATTTAATGTTCGAAGTTAACTCATACAATTTACACAAACATTTATTATTTTCATAAGAATACTTTTCTTATGAAGTTTACCTTAGAGGTTATTAGTTTCACAGTAATGTTAAAAATATTTTTATTAATAATTTCCTTAGTATTTTTCATCTACTATTCAGAAAGTAATTTAAAGTTATATTAGGTTGTTGGCCTCTTAATGAACAATTATCGCTTCATTAATTTTCTTCATAAATAATTGTTATGTGACATTATACACAACCTATCTTCATTTTGTTATAACTAAATACTCTGAAATTGTGTTATTATATAAATATGGGAAGTCTTAAAGTTTTATGAAACAATATTTTGAAAATGAATTACTCCTGCATATAGCCCTGTAACTCTATATAATATAACAAAATATTCCTTTTATAATTTATATATATATATATATATATATATATATATATATTCATTTAAAAAGCTAAAGAATTAGTAATAGTTGTCAGTCATATACCTGTTTATTTCCAAATTAAGATGCTTTAATTATATAAAATTTAAAATAATTATTATAAACAATATACTAAATTCTAATATAATGTATAGAAAATTATATTAATCCTTTCAAGAAATTAAAAATGCATATCTATATTTTCATATATATATATATCTTAATACAAATTGATCTCAATTTCAAATAGTAAACAAAAAATTACTAAATTAAAGCTTTCTTTAATAAGAAATATATTTGTGGTATTAGAAAACTTTGAGTAGCATAGATTGTTTCTATTGTATTTACATTTTTTTTTTCTTTTAAATTGCATTTAAATTTCAATATTAATAACAAATATATCTTATAATATATTCGTTAACTGATCAATATTTATTAGACCTAAAATTTATTATCCTGAAATAGCAGATATTCATAATGCATTATGTATGTTCTACATTGCTTTTCGATATTAACTGATAATAAAATTTAACCATTATGATATTTAATTCAGTTTTTTTTTTTTTAATAATTTTAACGATAATAAATTGTTGTGTTACCACCCTTCGATTTGTGACAATGCAAAATTATTATTGAATCGGTTACAATTAGAATGGTTAAGTTATTGTAATTATACATATTAGACGTATGAAAATGAAGACGCCAATGAAAATGCGTTTAATTATTTAGTATTGTGTTTATTATTCAATACATAACAAAATTATCATCTGTTACGGCTGTAATAAATTCTCTATAATAGTGAATACTTGAGTGAATATTAACTTTATTTGGATGAATCTCATTTCCTAGTTTTGGCATAGTTTCTTTATTAACGGCTACAATTTTATTCAAATATATAACAGGTCCACCATAATCTCCCTGAAATGTAATAAAATATTTATATGGATTTGTAATTATTTATATATACGCAAATATTAATGTCATATATTTAAATGCTTAAAGTAAAGAGTATTATTATTAGAATAATGAAAATATTTCAATTGGACAGTTATTAATAAATAAAATTATAACATATTAATATATTAATAAATTAGTTTTGTGTTGTAGTTCAAACATTGTTAATAAATTTAATATTTAAAATCAAATTTATCGTATATTTTACATATCATCAATATCTAAATATAATAAAGAGCAGATATTCTGAAATTCTCATATTAAATCACTTTTAATGCTAGAAATTAAATACTTACATTTTGTAATAGAACCTGTGGTGTTCCGTATGTACAGAAGTATCGACTATGGATACCAATTCTTCTTCCAGCTAATCTTGAAATTCTACTTTCACAATCATTATTAGATATTATTGTTGTAATAGTTGTTAGCATGTGAGGAGTTACAACACGACGTCTCGATATACTCCATCCAGCCAACGCAACGTCTCGATTGACTAAGTCATTCATTGATAAATCGGTTAACTTTGCAGGTTCAAAATTTGCTTGGATAGGTTGAATCAACTACACAAATTTTGTTTTTAATATGAAGTAAAGATTATGTGCCATTTTATTTTGACGATATATTAATTATTCATTTTTATATGCATTTATATTTTATGAAAATGAATAAGGACTATAATAGAATTCAGCGTAATAGAATTTAGCATAATTAATTATTAATAATAGGATAGAAATTATATATTTTTAATAATTAATTTACCTTTATAACAGCAATATCATTTTCTCTAAATTCAAGAGATCTTTGTGTATAGGAAATCCAATCATTAAATTTTATCCACCAATGTATATCGTACGCGCTAGTAAAAGTTAATGCATTCGATCCATACAGAATTACAGTTGTCATAATTGATCTACCATAGATACATGTTGCTGTACTAAGAGCATGTTTTTTAGTGATAAGTGCAGCTGTACACAAATGATCATCCAAATTCGCACGATTTGTCGTACTACGGTATGCTACTGATACAATAAATGGAAATTCATGCATATGAGCTAGTCGAACAGACGGTCCCACTAAGGCATTTGCGGTAGGGAAGTTGCATTGTATACCTACAAAATAATAGTTATTATATTAAATAAATGCAGCAGTAAACTCATTTATAAATTATTTGTATTAAAATTTATTCTTACACATTATTGCACATACGGCAAGAAGTAAAAATACGTTGGATTCCATGCTAAAATGAAAAACAAATAATTTTATAAACGATTACTGAATAAGTTTTTTAAAAAATTTCAAAGTTCAATATTTTACATTCAAATTAGCGAATTATTTTAGCAATATAAATCATTATATCCAATAAATTTATAATATTTTCATCTAAAAATAAGAACTTGAAATGTTGGTACTAGTGGGTAAATTACATTTAAAATAAATTTTAAACAATTAGAAAAACTTTAAAAACTTTTTATTAATACAAGTTAAATTATGTTTAATATATATTAATTCAATATTATCTTACCTTTCAAATTGATGGAGGCAAAACGAAAAAGTAATTAATGATTATTTCAATTCTTTCTAATTAATTATGTATAATACAAAATTCTATAAAATTACAGTGTGATTGTGAATTCTAACGTTCTTTGTTAGTGTATTTTCCTGAAATGAGTGATAGTATATATGTGAGAAACATTAAATGTTAATTTCAAATTAATCCTTATACACACAGAAATCCATATTTGCTAATATTTAAGATTTTAAATAAAATATTAAGTTTGGCAAAGGCACAAAAATTATTAAATATTACGCATAAATCATAATGTAGATGAAAAATATTGTAACAATTTTGTTAAATCCTGTAAATAATAACGTTTTTAGATCAGAATGTCAATATTATTATCCAATTGAATTTATGTTTATTATAAAATATTTATATTGCGATTTCTAAAAATAGTTCTTGTTTCTTTTTTTTGAAAAAGACGTTCCTGCTTTCAAATTTTTGATAAATTTAAAAACTTTTTTATTTATACAATTTCTATTCATTAGATTTAGTTTAGATGTATTAAACAATAATTTACTTTTCAAACCTTTCAATTTAGGTTACGGTTTATTTATTATAAATTATATATATTCACATGAATTATTTGTATATGTGGAAAAAGAATATTAAATTACTTCGTAATTCTGAAATTTAATATGATTTATTAATCTACAAATCATAAACGGGTAATAGTGTATATGTAGAAAATGTATTCAAAATTAATTGAAAAGAATCTTTATCTTTAACCAAATAGACTATTTCTCATCAGAATTATAATACAGTATTTATCTTAATAGAGTAAAACACAAAATCTTTTAAAAGCAAATTTCAAAATTCGTTCAATTGGTTCTTCTTATCACTGCCGAAATTCTTTTCGATATTTTCTTAAATAGTCGATTATTATTCGTTTAAAAGACATTTACTAAATCTTTTTGTCAATTCTTTTTTACATATTAAAGGATAATGAAATAAATGCTTCAATTTCATTATTGACTAAGGGATCTTTTAATTCTATTAATAGATAATGATGATTGTATATACGGTCTTCGGCTTCATATTCTGAATAAATTATTGTCTTCAACAATAAAAATCGAAAAAACGCACGTTAAAAATCTCTGCGATTATCGTTTTATTTATTCGTAATGCAAACATATTTTTTTATAAAATATATCGTAATTTGATAATATTTCTAATGAGAAATGTTTATTATGACTAATAGTAGTAATTTTAAATGTTTAGTGTTTTAAAAATAATTTGACATATTTAATGAATTACAGAATTCATTATGTTTATAATTAAGTTATTATATAGTGATTGGATTATTATTAGAAAACATTATGTATATTATATTCTTCTAGAGATAGTAGGATTGTATTCACTAATTTTTTTTAGCTTGGTATGTAAATTACAGGTGTTTTGTAGATTACAGTGCTGATTATATTTATATTTTCTTTTTTACATATATTTAAAATATAATTATTAAGTAACATTTTATTATGTAGTTATGTACATGTAATGGTATCATCGTATAGTTAATTTTCAAAATTAAAATCCTCATTTGTTACAGCTGTAAGAAAGACTCTGTAATAATTAATACTTGTGTGAATGTTCACTTTGAATTGGTTATAGTCTTTCCCCAAATCTGGAAGTACATTTTTGTTAACTCCAATAATTTTATGGTTGTGGAGGACCGGTCCACCAAAATCTCCCTGAAATGTAACGAAATATTTTAATGGAGATAAAATACTTTAATGATAGAAATTATTAATTAAATACAAGAAATTGTTGACTTGAGATGGTATTTAAGAGACGAATGAGAGTTTTGTTACATAAATTGGGAATATTAATTGGAAATCATTAATGGTATATTATAAATATACTCATAAAATTAATATTATTATTGGTATATTAGAAATAGCTACTCTTTGATTTCATTAGGAAAACAATTTTATTTTAAAACATGAATACTTACGCGTAGCATTAAAACAAAAGGGTCGTGGAAAGTACAGAAGTGCCTCTCGTGAATGCCTATTATTCGGTCAACAAGATGTTGAATATGATTTTCACATTCTCTAATTGATAAGATTCTTGTTTTTGCTGTAAGCATATTTAGTGATACTGCACGTCGAAAGTTTACACCCCATCCTGCTAAATCAACCTCCTCATGAACTAAATCATCGTATGGTACTGAGGATAAAAGAGCTGGTTCAACGTTTCCTTGTACTTCATAGATTAACTGTACAAATTTTGTTTCGATATATTAATTGTTAATGTTGTTATTTATTATTATTGTTAGTGTTGATTTGTTTAATTTATAAATTTAAAGAAGAATTATAATAATGGACAGTGTGAATATTTTTTGCTACGTTATATCTATTTCATAATTTTTTAATGATATAATTTATATTTTATATTATTAATGATTAATTTACCTTAGTAACGCTTATGTCATTATCACTGAATAAATGATTTCTCCCTGTTAAGTCAGCCCACTTATTAAACGTTATCCACCACAATATTCTATATGTTGTACAATAGAGTAGCGAATTCGATCCATGGAGAACAATCGTTTGATTTACCAATCTACGATCATGACATTGTGCAGCACTAAGTACGTGCTGTTTGGTAATAAGCGCTCCCGTACAAATATGATCGCGGGAAGGATTAGGATTGACATTGTTTATACGTCTAAATGCTACGATAAACGGAAACTCTTCTTCAAATGCGTTACGAACACCCGAGCCGAGTAAAGCGTTAACAATGTGATAGTTAAACTGTGTATCTAAATAATGATAGTGTAAATAAGGAAATTACGCGTTTAAATTCATCTATTAAATATTTGAATATTCATTCTTACTGATTATTGCACATACGCCAAAAAGTAAAAATATATTGAATTCCATGCTAAAAATGAAGATTTAATAAAATTTTTGAAAAAATTGTATATTTAATGATAATATTTTATATATTTGACAATAATAACATGAGCATTCTTTTAACAATTTGATATATTTATATAATCATTTGTAAGCTGTATGATTTACATACATATATAATTTAAATTAAATACTTTAAAACCATATTATTTATATATTTTAGGTCAATTTATTTCATGGAAAAATCAAAATAATCTTAAAATTAATACTCTATATTATAAAAAAATTGATTTATTAAGGCTAATTACTTTTTTAGAAGATGCCACAGTTGTTTGCGATTAACAAAAACGGTAAAAAATGTAATATTTATTTTACAATGATAAAAGATATATGAAAATTTGCTTCACATGTTCAACAATGTTTTTAAACATTGTTTAAAATAAAAATATTGAAGGAGAAATTACAAAATTTCTTATTAAAATTATTAATATATATATATATATATATATATATATATATTTATATGTTATTATTATTATATATAATTATTATATATAATTATAATATATAATTATCATGAGCTAAGGAGAGCCTGATTATTAAGATTGCATATTGAATTAAATTTCTTTCTTTTGGATATATTTTCACAATACAGTTTATCAAGTAATGTAATGAACATCCTATAATCTATAATTCTCAATACAATCATTGTAATAAATCACAACTTTTTAGTATAAAATATTTAGTCCTATATTAAGAACATTATTAAAAACTGCCGTATATACTCTAGATGAATAACATTTCCGACAAAATAATTAAATATAAATATTACCTTTTGAAATGAAGCAATAATTTACTGTAAAATTATGTATTAATGAAAAATATATTTAGTACTTATATATCCAAAAAATATTCTATGTTAGTGGTTAAGTGTACATTTTTTGTTACGTGATTACTATATTTAGTGTACCCTGAAAATTATTTTAAACATGAGCTATACTTATTATAAAAATTGGAATAATTCAAATATATTAATTCTTATTTTTATCTTTCCCTTAGTGTACTTAATGATAAAAATTAAAATAAATAATACATTTGCTATGCATTAGATATAATATCAATATACTATCAAGAATTACGTTCGAGTTATAAAGTAATGATTGTATGATAAATATTAAATTAATTTAAATTTAACCTAAGATTGATAACATTCAAATATCACAATGCCAATATTACAACATGAATTAACATTATACTTTTATAATTAATATATACTTGGCAATTTATAAAAATATATATTATTTATATTTCTATCATTAAGTTTGAATACATTGCTGTCTAAAAACTTACACAGTTTTATTTGATTTTTAACTTAACAATATCACGAGCTTAATGTGAGTTGACGAGTTACGAATAGATTTTCTTGTACTGTTTCCTTAGAAATTATGTAAATCACAATTCACATAATTGAATAATAAGATTGTAAATTTGTTTCGGCAATGTTGAATTATCTGATAGAGTATTTCGCATCAGAATAATGCAGTATTTATCTTAGTGGAGTATAGGATAAATTTTACAATTTTAAAAACATATTCCATAGTTGGTTAGATTCACTCATCTTATCATTGCCGAAGTTTAAATGACTTGAGCTTGTGAAGTTTAGCTCCATTATAAATATCGAACTTATTCTGTGCTTAACTCAAATCAAAGTCTTTTTATGTAAATAAAATTTTGTTCTCATCCTCTGATCTTTTTCTGTGACTAGCTACTCTGCATCTTAGAGTTCGATTACATAATTGAAATTTGTTCTTTACAATTAGGAGTATGAGAACATCAGGTTAGCATTCGTCTGTCAAAAGAAATTCTTTTCCATATTTTCATAAATAGTCGATTATTATTCGTTTAAACGACAATTACGAAGTCTTTTTTTCAATTCTCTTTCACATATTAAGAGATGATGAAATAATATTTCAATAATATTTCATTTATCGACTAAGGGATCTATTAATATTGTCAATAGACAAAGACGATTGTATCGATCATCACATCTCATTCTCTCTAATAAAACATACGAACATTCCGATGCAAACATGAATACGAAGAGACAAAAAATGTATATAATAATTGTTATCTCAATATAACCTTAATTTAAATATTATAAATTACATTGTAAATAGTATTATACCATGAATTAACAAGGTATTGTAATTATATGATTTTTAGAAGTGGAAAATTCGGAATTACAATTAATTTTAGTTGATGAGAAACATTATTTTTTGGTTAATTGTAACGAATGCCCTCAAAATAAGGTTTGAAAGTATTATTTGTTAATTATTGCAATAAATATAATAAGTCCTGTTAATGAATCTTATAAATAATTTATTTCCATGAATTGCGTACATCTTTTCTCAGTTTTAATTGCTTAATTATTAGGTACTTTATATTCCATTATGAATCTGGTATCGATAAGAATAAATATGTATTGAAAATAACTTTAGGCATTCAACAAATTATAGAAATTACTATATTTATATCGAATTATTCTAATTACATTTAAACAACTAGATATTTAAAGTATCAATATAATATTGAATTCATATTCAAATCTACTAAATTTATATTAATTTACTCAATTATGCTTTTATTACTATTCAGAACCACTCGAAGAATATAGCTGTGACGTCTGCAATAAATTCTCTATAGTAGTTAATACTTGTATGTACATTGACTTTGTGATGGTTATACTCATTTGCTATTTGTGGAAGTATTTCTTTATTGATTCCAATAATATTATTGAAGTATAATACTGGCCCACCAAAATCTCCCTGAAACATAAGAAAATACAGCTCATATATCAGTGTGTCAAAAACGAATAATCAGCCTTGAATAAATTTAATTATTTAAGATATAAGAATATCATATCTTTAGACTATATAACATTAAAAATTGCTTATATATTAATTTCAATTATTTTTAACAGAACAAATAATTTTTTCATCATATTATGAAATGAATTCTATGTTTTTATTTTTATTATTATATATACCTAAATATAATATAAAAAATAATTACCCTATAAACTCTAAAAATAATTAATATTCTTTAAGTAATGAATACTTACACGCTTAAGTAATGTAAAAGGTGAATTATGAGTACAGAAGTAATTATTAGTTATTTCATGTCTCAGTCCAGTTAGTTGCGAAATTTTATGTTCACACGCCGAATTAGTTATAGTTCTCGCAGTGGCTGTTAGTATTGTTCTTGACATCATACGTCGATTGTTTACACCCCATGCTGCAAACCTAACGGATTTATCAACTAAATTAACGAACGGCACTGTTGATAAAATGGCTGTTTGCAATATTCCTTGCACGTCATGGGTTAGCTAGATAAATGATTTTTATTATAAAGTAGTATTTTCTATTTTATATAATTTTATATAATCTATTATTTTATATAAGTGATTTATTTCATGTAAGTAATCTCTACTTAGACGCTAGTTATTTTTTATTGTTGTACTTAGTATGTGTCTTAAAATTACGTGCATTTATTCCTTATCACATCATGATGGAAGCTACATATTATAATTTAAATAACTAATTTACCTTTGTAATACTAATATCATTGTTATCATATTCAACTTGTCTATTTCTATAATTGCTCCACTCGCCAAATGTTATCCACCATTCTATACTGTATTGTACACACGAGGATAATGAATTTGTTCCATGGAGAATAGCAGTTTCATTTTTGTTTCTATTTCGAATGCACTGTTCTGCACTAAGAACATGTGATCTTGAAATTAGGGATCCGGTACAGATGTGATCACGTGTGGCATGGGGATTTATCACATTAATATGTTTAAATGCTACAAGAAAAGGGAACTCTCTTACATGTGCACTGCGAACTTCCACACCAATCAATGCATTAACCGTCGGAAAGTTACATTGTATACCTAAAAAATAAGTAGTATTTGAATATATTATTATTTGAATATATTATTATTATTATTTGAATAAAGAAATTAAAATAGTACAATTTTTTAAATATTTTTATTATATATGTATTCTTACATATTATTGCGCATACGCTGAGAAGGAAAGACACGGTGAATTCCATGCTAAAAATAAATAATCAAGAAGATTAATTTAAGTTTTTAATAAAAGTAAGAATATTTAATAAAAGTTTTTAAATCTTATTTAGATTAAATACATGTCGAATCTAAAATGTTATTTTAAAAACACACGGCTTATATATCAAGCGATAAAACTATTCCTTTTAATTTATTATATTTAAATTAGAATATTAAAATTATGAAAATTTAATTATATAGAAAATTGATTGCACTCTCAAAAAATGTCTGTATAACCTCTTAATTTATTTGAGCTAAATAATTTTACTAATATGTAAATTAAATATAAACGTTTACTTTTGAAAATGAAGCAATTAAGTACGGGAAAATTTTAAATTAATTATAAATCTATTAAGTACTTATATATTTATATAAAAATATATTAAATTTTTATTTAAGTGTTAATTCTCAGGTGCGCGAGTACTATCTTAATTTACTAATCCTTAATTTTATATATCCTCTTTGTTTGTCAAATAATCGTAATTTCATGAAAATATGTCATTTAAATTTTATAAGTATTATCTCATATGATGTGCATGCTGTAATCTGCAATTACAATAAAAAATACATTAAATTTAATCTAAATTTTATAACGTTCTAACATCGAAAAGTCAATATTGTCACACAATCGGATTTTCGGTTTTTTTTTTTTATAAAAATTTTTATTTAAAACGTTTATTTCTTCTTCTTTTACCATGATTTTTTAAGGAATTAATATGTAAATATTTTTCAAAATTTATTTACGTTTATATTTAAGTAGTAGATAAAATTTTGTTTGAAAATTGATATTGTAAATTTTGTTGAGTTACACATGCATCATTGTATACCGAATACGAAATATAATTAAGTTATTGTCATGTTTTTTTTTTTTTTTTTTTCAGAATATTGGATTAACAGATGGAATATGTCTAATTCATTTATAATACAATATTGGTTATATGAAACGCAAAAAAATTTTGATAGTTTAGTCTGATATTGAATGGCTACTGCTAGTTGTATTAATTAAATCATATACAATCTCATGCATTTGTTATAAATAATATCTATACAATTTTAATTTTACAAATCTAATTTTAGAAATTTAATTTAATAGCTGTGAATACGCATAAATAAATATTTGAAAAAATATATGTCTTGTATCATGGATGTGTGAATATATATTTTGATTATTTATTTTTCCCTATTTCTAGATTTGATAATATATAACTTTAAATTCTTTTTAGATATGAACGATTATAAATCTTAATACAAATTTTTCAGCATTCCATATGATTATAATCTAAAAAAATTAATGAACTCAGCCTTTATTCTGCAAGAATATATTAGTGTTGCTGAAATATATTGTTGAATTATATAACTTCATTAATAACGATTGTTTAAATTGAATTTGTATCTTTTATCTTAAATCTCTATATAAGTTCCATATTATAAAGTAATATAGTTAAATTTATAGAATAATATTTATTCATTCTAAGGTCTGTTATATTATATCCTCAGTTATTCGCAATATATTATTTTAAATGTTCAAATTTTACTATTCATATTAATGTATATTGTAATTTAACAATTTTCATATTTATTTTACTTTTTTATAATTTTATAAACAAAATTATTCGTACTAATCATTAGATATTATGCATTAGGCGTTAAATAAGCACATAATTATATTAATTGTTTTACATAAGGAGGGTTTTAATCAATAAAATTTTATTCTCAGTCAAAATCAACTAAGACGCTCATAAACAACTTGTTATTCTCTTATTATTCAAACCACATTATAATTCGGACTTGTGACTTCTAGAATAAAGTTTCTGTAGTAATTAATACTTGTATGAACATTAATTTTCAAATGGTTATATTCTCTCCTCGCAACTGGAAGTATTTTCTTGTTAATCCCTATAATTTTATTCATATACAAAACGGGCCCACCATAATCACCCTAAAAATTCATAAATCATTTTAATTATTATTATTATTATTATTGTTGTTATTATTATTATTATTATTATTATTATTATTATTATTATTATTATAGACAGTACAGATCTTTTATCATATTGATCAAATAAATTTAATTCTTTACTTACACGTTGTAATAGGGTCATAGGTCTCCCGAGAGTACAGAAGTGTTGTTCACTTATACGAGCCGCTGCACCACTTACTTGGCTGATATGAGCTTCACATTGAGCATTTGATACAACGACCGCAACGTCTGTTAGTAGATTTAGAGATAATACTCTACGGTCACTTGTACCCCATCCTGCCAACTGAACGAGTTGTCCCATCATTTCTGCATTCGTTGCTGATATTAATGTTGCTGGTTCAAAATCTCCTTCTATTTCTTGAGTTAGCTAGATAAATTTTTTTGTGATATAACGAAAATATTTTCAAGCATTTTATTTAGTTTAAATGTACATGATTCTTGTTCACTTTTCGTTCAATCCGACTATTCTTATTAACAGCTTTAATGATATTAAATTTATTTTACAGAACAAATTCTTTATCGTTTAATGTTTTCATATTGATAATACATCTTTAATAACTAATTTACCTTTATAACAGCTACATCATTGTCTAGATTAATAATATTTCTATTTCCACGAAGGGCCCAGTTGTTATAAGTTATCCACCATTGAATAGAATATGTCACGCCATAGATTAAAATGTTCGTTCCGTAAAGGACAAGAGTTTCATTCGCTTCTCTATTGTTAAGACATTGCGCTGCAGTTAGAACATGAATTCTTGATATTAACGCTGCAGTACAGATGTGATCGCGATTAGGTATAGGATTTTCTAAATTAATGTGTTTTAGAGCTACGATAAAAGGAAATTCTCGATCGCGTGCCATGCGAACATTTGGTCCAAGCATTGCATTAACAGTCGGCAAGTTACATTGTATACCTAAAAAATAATAAATAGTTGATTACTAAAATGTCCCGACTAAATTCATTTTAAAATTATTTCGATCGTTTATTCATTCTTACAGATTATTGTAAATACGGCAAGAAGTAAAAATATGTTAAATGCCATTCTAAAAAAGAAGAACAAATGAGATTATAAAGTTATATTGAATATTTTTACAATATGTATATAAGTTCAATAATTATCTTGCTAGATATATATATATATATATATATATATATATATATATATTTATATTTTATTGCTCTTTATTATAATAGATCATTCATTTATAACAATATTTAATTATTTAATCGTATCTTATTGTATTTAAAAAATTATATTTTTTAAATATGTTAAATGTTCAACGTTGAAGTATTACTTTGAAATACGTGTTTTATGTGTCGATGGCTGTAGCACTTCAAATTAAATTTATATTTTAATATAAAATAAAAATGAGAATCTTTAAATATCATGATTTGATTAACAAAAAAATGTATTCCATTCTTATAAAATCATAAAAACTTCTTCATTTATTCAAGTCTATTTATATTACAAGTATATTAATTAAATATAAAAATTTACCTTTCGAAATGAAGTAATTAATTACCGAAAAGTTATTAATTGATTAGAAATCTACTAAAAAATTATTTATCGTAGAAACATATATTAAACTGATAGTTTATTGTAAAAAAAATTTGAATCACGCCTTTACTATATTTATCATAAATTATTAATGATTTTCGAACAAGAGGTTTATTAAATATACGTTGTGCATTAAATTTTTATTTATTAATACTTAATTTTATCTGTCATATTAGTGTGCTCAACGATAAAATTTTGTAAAAAATATTCAATTTGGCACGGATATACGAATTATTAAAAATTACATGCAAGTTATAAACTATTACTGAGATGACAAATATTATGTTAATTTGAATATATTCTAGAATTGATAACATTCTAAATATCATAAAGTCAATATTGCTATACAAGAAGAATTTAGGTTGGCGATTTGTGAAAATGATTTTGTTTTTCCTTACAAATCACATTTTATAAACTGCATTATAATAGTTGACGTTTTTAAGGTTTATTTAATTTTAATTTAAACAAAAAAAAAAACATTCACGTAAAACTTACTACTGAAAGGCTAACTTAGTTATAGAGATTGTATAAATAATATTGAAAACTGAGTATTAGTATATGATAGTAACTAATATTATTTTGGAATATTTCATTGGAAGAGTACTTTTTATTATTTAAAGACATAATCCATAGTTCGTTTGATTCATTCAGCTTATCTTTATTTAAATACAAATAATTTCAATATGAATCTTGAAAGATTTCTTAATAGATAAATAGCTAAAAGATCATTATTGAATTAATTCGTAACATCTTACTTTTCTTCATTTCTGATTTATAATGAATTAGATTTGTGATTTATAATATGCAGAAGAAACTCTGGTGTAACTGGAAAAATCATGTGTATTTTCAATTGAAGTTTGCCAATTAAGAGAAACTATTAAAATTATGAAAATTTAATTATTGTAAAATATAAATATTATTTTCCTCTAAAAGTGAATGTATAATGAAATCGTTATAAAAAATTCACGATTTTCTTCTACCACACTTAGCTTAAATAGATTTTCAAAAACTGAAACTGCCGACATTATAACTTCATATTGATTATTAATTTATGTTGTATAATATATATATATATATATATATATATATATGCAATTTAAATTCTGTTATGTATATTAAATATATGTTTTATCTTTATCTTTCATCAGATTTACATAAGATAGGTAGCAATGACTGATAAACAGTTGTAATGATGTTGATTTGTCGTATGTAAAATGGAGGTGTAAGTGTATTGATTTTTTCAAATACGTGTAATTTAAAAGTGGATTTACATAAACTATTCAAGTAAATGCCAATAACAAAAAGATTTCCTCCATTTTAAATGTTTTTTACTATTTTCAATTTATATTTTTATTGACTATTTAAAAATATATATTTTTCATACATATTGGCCGATTAAATTTCATTTGAAGACCTATTTTATGAGTATGTTTGTTCAAATTATTAAAATAATATCTTAATATATAATAAAATAAAATAACTTTTTTTTTTATTTTATTGAGTCAGACAAAAATAAAAATTAATTTTTTACATGATATGTCTTGTAATTACAATTTAATTAGAAATATCCATGTATTTCTATTATAATGGTATTGTAGGTTCTACATTATTTTATTATGCTGTTTGATATTCTTGATGTCTATAATAATTAATGATCATTAGTTATACTGTCACTATATTACTTCCTCTACGTTCAATAATATATTATAAAGTACATTTCTGATCTGTATGTAATTGATTGAATAATTAGAATTATTTTGAATGTTATATTAAAATTGCCTTATTAATTATTTCATCATCAATAAATCTCTTTATTATCTATTTTTGATATAAATATATTTTATTTATTATATTAATTCATCATTACTTATTTTCATAATTCGATTGTTATATCATTATTTTAAACTATAGTTTATAAATATTTAATAAATGATTATTTTTTTTATTATTCCAATGCCTTAATTTGAATATGTTTTTACAGCCTATTTTGTAAAACCATTTTAATGTCATATCATTCGAATTCGCATCTATCATATGCATTTTATTTCTACTAAATTTCACTAATTAATATATAAACATAATTTTATATGTCGATATATTTTTATGGAATTTCATCAAGTTGTGTTTATAATTTTATGGAAATAATACAATTATATAAATATAAAATAACAAATATAATAGCGCATTTAGAAGAAATCAGAACAAATTAAAATAGTAAACTTGACAAATTATTAGAAAATTTTTTCGGAATATTAAAGAGAAGAAAAATTACTAATAACATTAATACTAATGATAAAATAATGTAATAACCAGGATAAACAAAAATTAACAAAATAAAATTGAAACTTTATCAAACTATGAAGCAATAACAATTAGTAATGAAAATGAAGATAAGGAAGTACAATTCGAGAAAATCTTCAAGAAAATTTACACGTATAATATATAATAATAAATGAGGCTATAATTTTAATCGACCTAAACTAGATAAACAAATAAGAGAAAGATTAAGGGAAAAAAACTTGTAGAAATATGCATAGTTTTACAATATAATATAACAATATTTATGGGAGATTTCCCTTAAATGGTGATTTTAAAAATATGATTTACGTAATTTAACAGGAAATTACTTTTCTTGATCAAACTCACTATTAAAAGTAAGTAAATATAAAAAATATGTAAATATACGAAATAAATATATATAAAAAATAAGTAAATATAAAAAACAAGTGTATATGAAAATAAGTAAATATAAAGAATAAGTAAATATAAAAATAAGTGAATATAAAAAATAAGTAAATATAAAAAATAAGTAAAAATATAAAATAAGTAAATATAAAAGATAGAAATCTTTGATACTAAAGAAGTAATTATAAAAAAACTATGAAATTAATAGGCAGTGATATAATAAAGCTACAAATCGTATAAATGTATACATGGATTACAACAAACTTTAGATAATTAAATTAAATGGTGTAAGCTGTTATATTTTACTAACTAACTAAGAAAGGTATGATAGAAAAAATAGCTGTGTTAAACTATATAAATATACGGAATTAAAAATGGGTTTATCATCAATATAAATTGGATCTCAAGTTCATATTGGTTATAACTTCTTCATATTTAAGAAGTTAAATACTTTCAATATAAATAGGGAATAGTGAAACTAAATGAAGTATATTTAATAATTAATGCACTAACGGGTATACCGCAAGATCAAATAGAAATATATCTAAATGAAATTATGATTTCATTTACAAATAATACCAATCATTTACTATAACCTTAACGAGTCTGTAGCAGGCAGTGGTTCAACTTTGTTAAAAAAAAAAAAAAAAAACTAACGATAGTTAAAAAATATTCAACATAGGTATCTATAAAAAAATCTGAGCAATTTATGTGTTTTAAAGAATATTATTAATATTTTATGAAAATTTAGTAAAAATTAATTTATTAACACTCAGTAATATGATAAAAATAAATAATAGATTTTTTTGGAGTGACAAAAAATGAAATTTTATGTAATACATTAATATTGAAAGCATCAATGATTTTGGTACTGAATTATTCATTGTAAAAATGTCCGATTTAATTACCAACTTGATATATAATTAATGAGTATACTTATTTATCTAGGCATACGAATGTGCGAATTTTAATATATTACTAACATACAATATAAAGAGAAACGATATCGATCTGAAATCGATGATATACACGATGACAAATGCTATACAATAAGAAAATAAGGTTAAAGAATTTGTTAATTCCTTTATTTGTAAAATTAGAGAAAAATAAAATATTAATAGACAGGGAATGAAGGTGAATAATTTCAAATAATGGTAGACAAATAAGTCGATATACATTTAAAAAATAATAGAACGAAAATTATAATATTATAATGATGAATGAAAATTATATGATAATAATATAAAAATAGACCTGAATAATATAATGAACAATAAAAATAAATGAGGGAACAGGAGAATATAAAACCCAATAAATTCATTTAACATTTTTGAAAGATTAATTAAGATCGATGAATCCCACCGGTAGAAGATTCAGATGGAATGTCGGAGGTGTATTAGAATCAGAAAAATGAAGGTGTTCTTTTGCGAAAAGAAAATATTCGTAATTAGCAGACAGGACTTTCAAAATTCAAGTTCAAATTGTGCTTTTCTGATATGGTAAGGCTGATCAGAATGCCTGCAGCAGTTTTCCAAAAGTACATACTTATAAAATGTGTGTACGTGCGTGCGTTTAACAATAATTTGAAACATACAAAACTTATTTCAGGATATTTTTGTAGTTTTTGTATAGCACTTTTTTTCCTTAATAAATTAAAATTTACTAAGAAGAAAAGAAAATGATTATTTTCATAAATTGCAATATGATGATCGGATAAAAAACAAATTAAATTACGTATATTGATTTTTTATTTAAATATGTTATCTATTTCAGAATAAATTAAAATTAATGTAATATTTTTCACGAACTTTATAATTTAAGAATTGTATGTAATAAATGATAATTCTTTTGTCTTTGACGAGTTTAATATATTATTATAATTGTTATCATTGAATAAACCAAGAGGATAGATAAAAAAATGAATGAATAAATAGTGTTTATTTTAACGATTTATTGATTATATTAAATATAGGAACATCATTGTTTAAAATTTACGATAAATCATCAGTCTAACCTTTTTGCCCACAATATATAATTGCTCAGTAGTTTTCTCAGTAATTAATTATTTCATCTTCTAAGGTAAATTAAAATATTTTTTATTAAAATACTAATAATAGTATACGCAGACAGAATAAATTATAAATAATATTCCATAAAAATATTTGAAATACAATAAACTTTTACATATTGTAAAAATATTCAATATAACTTTATAATCTCATTTGTTCTTCTTTTTTAGAATGGCATTTAACATATTTTTACTTCTTGCCGTATTTACAATAATCTGTAAGAATGAATAAACGATCGAAATAATTTTAAAATGAATTTAGTCGGGACATTTTAGTAATCAACTATTTATTATTTTTTAGGTACACAATGTAACTTGCCGACTGTTAATGCAATGATTGGACCAAATGTTCGCGTGGCTCACGAAAGAGAATTTCCTTTTATCGTAGCCATAAAACACATTAATTTAGAAAATCCTATGCCTATACGCGATCACATTTGTACTGCAGCGATGATTTCAAAAGTTCATGTTTTAAGTGCAGCGCAATGTACTGAGAATAGAATCATAGCAAATACTGCTATTCTATACGGTTCGAATGCATTAATTTTTGCAGAAGAGTATAGGATTCGATGGTGGATAAATTTTAACCAATGGACCATTCTTAAACATAGACCGCTCGTAAATCTCGATAATGATATTGTCATTATAAAGGTACATTATTGATAATCATTATATGATTTATGTGGCAGCATTAAATGTTAAAGCATTAAATATGCATTTTTAATAATAAATTGAAAATCATTATAATTGCTAATAATGAAATTGTATTAAATAACAAGTTAACAAGAATCGTTGACATCTGAACTATATAAAATATTTCATTTATGTCTTATTTGATTAGTTAACCCGTGAAATAGAAGGAGATTTTCAACCAGCACAGTTATGGCCTTTACCGAATAATGATATAACAGCACAATACGTTCATCTGGCCGGATGGGGAATGACTGAACGTAGAGTGTTATCACTTAGTCTGCTAACAGATAGTACAGTGATTATAACAAACAATGCGTGTGAACATCACATTCGACGTGAAACTGGACGAATTTTTCATATTCACGAGAGACACTTCTGCAGTCTTGGAATAACTTTCACTTTACTACAACGTGTAATTAAATTTATTTAATCAATATTTCATCATATTACAAGAATTACGATTACATTATAAAAGAATTATAAACAATTATAAATACATGTTTTATTAATTTTCAGGGAGATTTTGGTGGACCCGTTTTGTACTGCAACAAAATTGTAGGAATCAACAAACAAGTACTTCCAGAAGCAAGAAGAGAATTGAACAACCAAAAAATTAATATCCATACAAGTATTCACTTTTATAGAGAATTTATTGAAGACGTTAACAATGATCATTTTAATTGGGAGGGATAATAACCGCATAATAAAATAATTAATGGCATCTAAATTAAAATTTGTATGTAGAAGAATACTATGGATAATTTTTATTTATACAGCTTGTAAATTAATTAATACCGCATTATTATAATATGTGACATTGTTTTGAAAGAACATTTCTTATTTTTTAAATAGAAGTTAATTAAAAATTTTATATTCTCATACTTTACAATGAATTTAATAGCCATAAAAATATTGAAAACTAAAATAAATATCATAATGGTTAAATTATAGTATACGTTAATACGAAAACTAATGTGGAATATACAAAATTAGTGTCTGATATTGTAGAATAATAAATATTTTTAAAATAAATAAATACCAATCAAACTATATATTAAGATACAGACTACTAAGTACTATATCTTATTAAGATAATTCTTATTATCTATTCTTATTAGATTACTAAGAATAGACCACTATACATATGTTATCGATAATAATTATTGTACTATTCATATTATTAAAGCCACTTGATCGACAACCATACACATCGTAAATATCGTTAATTTTTTAAGTTATAGAAAGTTTATATAGATATATGTATATATATATATATATATATATATATATATATGTAGCTGAGAATAAAGGTAAACAAGTAACTATTTTATTTATTTACCTATTTGTATAAAACAATAACGAACGAGAAGTTAAACAATTAAAAATATATTTTAGCGTTAGAGTAAAAAACCCAACAGTATCATTTGATATCTATAAGAGGTATTTTGCATAGTTAGGAAAAGAATAAGTGCGATATGCAGTGTACAATCTAGATAAACTACTGAAGTTCAAGTCGATTAATCTACGGTAATGATAAGATGAGTGAATTCAACAAACTATGGGATACGTGTTTAAATAATAAAATTTATTCTATGTTCTATTAGGGTAAATACTGATTTATTTTTCTGATGACATTTCTGATGAATAGCCTGTTGGCTAAACAAATATTATAAAACAAAAAGATCGTATTAATTGTTCATTATGTTAAATAGGAGCATGATTATTAAATAAATATTACTTAAGCAACTGGATTTTAAATTTCAATTTTCAAACGTAAGTCCATTTGAAGGCTGACATAAAAAAAATATTAAACATCTATTTAATGTAAATTATAACTAATTTTTTTACTAATTATTATCTATTAGTACAATTTCTTAATGTCTATTAAGTACGTTAAATAAAAATAGATATTATTATTTTCATACAAAGAGATATGAAAATATCGTTACAGAAATATAAAAATCCCTTTTCATAGCAAAATTACATACCAAATTGACTTTATCATATTCAAACATTATCATTCTGAGAAGAAATTAAAATTCTTAAAATAGTTTCAACTATATAACAATACTTGACAATTTAAAGCTTGTATAAAATATTTGATAACGCTTAGAAATAAATTTCGAATTTGTTTTGAAATATTTATCATTGAATACACTAGGAGAATTGATAAAAATGAATGAATTAATGGTGCTGTTTTAAACTGTAAAAAAAATTACTTTTATTCATATTAGAAAATAATTCTTTTTTACAGCAATTATAGTCACCACGTGTCAATGAATTTTGAAAATATTGGCACCGATAACTGATAATTCAAAATATTTGTTTATAATAGAAACTTAATATGTTTTGAAGTAATTTATAATTTTCTTGTAAAAAATTTCTTCGAGTGAGTATTATTAATATTAATTAATTAGAGTAAAGGTAATATTTTTATATCCAAATATAATATTTCAATATTACAATTTTTACATTGAAAGAGAATAAATTGAAACTGATATTGTTACGACAATCGGTAATCGAACAATTTTTTTTCTCGAATTTATACCGTAGAATTCACACAAGCTTATGTAAATGACTTATAAATACTCTTATTAAATATATTTGAAAGTTTAATTTTTGAATATATCAGATATATTTAACGATCATTTTATTAATTTAATTAAATTTCCCATTTTAGCATGGAATTCATCAAATTTTTACTTCTTGCCGTATGTGCGATAATCTGTAAGAATTAACTATGATAGAAACGGTTTATAAGCGATTTCAATGGTGCAGTATTTTAATGTCAATTACAATTGTTTTTTAGGTACGCAATGTAATTTTCCGACTGTTAATGCGTTGATTGGTTCGGAAGTTCGCAAAGTACAACCAGAAGAGTTTCCTTTTCTTGCTGCTTTCAGACATGTTAATTTAACAGATCCTCATCCTACACGAAATCACATTTGCACTGGATCGCTAATTACTAGAAGTCATGTTCTCAGTGCAGCTCAGTGTATTGAAAACAGATTAATAAGTCAAACTGTCATCGCCCATGGATCGAATTCATTAGTCTATTGTATAGAATATCGGATACAGTGGTGGATTACTTATAATCAGTGGTCTCTATATATGAATAGACCTCTGGAATTTGTTGATAATGATGTTAGCGTTACAAAGGTAATTAGATATTCAAAAAGTAAATTTTTAATTGCAACATTAATCTGCATCTTATAAGTACTGTAACTATTGAATTTCATTGTAATTCTTATTCTTTCTATATAATTAAACAATCAAAATCGACGGTTGATTATTTATAAATAAAATAAGTAAAATAGAATGTGACGTTTATATTACAATAGAATACAATATTTTTAGTTGTGGACCCCAGTACGAGGAGAATTTCATTTAGCTCAATTATCAACAATCCCGACTACTCATGCAATCGATGATCATATTGTGTTGGTAGGATGGGGTGTAAACAATAGACGTAAAATATCAAGAAAGATGTTATCATCCGTTGCGAAAGTCAAATCGATGAATGAATGCCAAGAATTAATTCGACAAGCAAGTGGACGAGTAACAGTGATTCGGGAAAATCTCTTTTGTACTCATAATTCACCTTATACATTAATTAAACGTGTAAGTATTCATTACTTAAAGAATATTAATTATTTTTAGAGTTTATAGGGTAACTATTTTTTTTATTATATTTAGGTATATATAATAATAAAAATAAAAACATAGAATTCATTTCATAATAGGATGAAAAAATTATTTGTTCTGTTAAAAATAATTGAAATTAATATATAAGCAATTTTTAATGTTATATAGTCTAAAGATATGATATTCTTATATCTTAAATAATTAAATTTATTCAAGGCTGATTATTCGTTTTTGACACACTGATATATGAGCTGTATTTTCTTATGTTTCAGGGAGATTTTGGTGGGCCAGTTTTATACTTCAATAATATTATTGGAATCAACAAAGAAATACGACCAGAAGTATTGAATGATTATAACCGACTGAAAGTAAACATTCACACAAATATTGATTACTACAGAGATTTTATTACGCATGCCTTAGAAAACAATTTTCTTTTGGTCTAAATAATAATAATGATATCATATAATAAAGTAATATTAATTGATTCAATTCGATCATGAATCCAATATTATATTGCTACTTGAATTATCTAGTTGTCTAAATGTAATTAAATTCTGTAATTTGTGGAATACGTAAAGTTATTTTCAATACATATTTATTCTTATCGGTACCAGATTCATAATGGAATATAAAGTACCTAATAATTAAGCAATTAAAACTGAGAAAAGATGTACGCAATTCATGGAAATAAATTATTTATAAGATTCATTAACAGGACTTATTATATTTATTGCAATAATTAACAAATAATACTTTCAAACCTTATTTTGAGGGCATTCGTTACAATTAACCAAAAAATAATGTTTCTCATCAACTAAAATTAATTGTAATTCCGAATTTTCCACTTCTAAAAATCATATAATTACAATACCTTGTTAATTCATGGTATAATACTATTTACAATGTAATTTATAATATTTAAATTAAGGTTATATTGAGATAACAATTATTATATACATTTTTTGTCTCTTCGTATTCATGTTTGCATCGGAATGTTCGTATGTTTTATTAGAGAGAATGAGATGTGATGATCGATACAATCGTCTTTGTCTATTGACAATATTAATAGATCCCTTAGTCGATAAATGAAATATTATTGAAATATTATTTCATCATCTCTTAATATGTGAAAGAGAATTGAAAAAAAGACTTCGTAATTGTCGTTTAAACGAATAATAATCGACTATTTAAGAAAATATCGAAAAGAATTTCTTTTGACAGACGAATGCTAACCTGATGTTCTCATACTCCTAATTGTAAAGAACAAATTTCAATTATGTAATCGAACTCTAAGATGCAGAGTAGCTAGTCACAGAAAAAGATCAGAGGATGAGAACAAAATTTTATTTACATAAAAAGACTTTGATTTGAGTTAAGCACAGAATAAGTTCGATATTTATAATGAAGCTTAACTTCTCAAATTCAAGTCGTTTAAACTTCGACAATGATAAGAAGAGCCAATTGAACGAACTATGTAGTACCAGTTTAAACAATAAAATTTATTCTATCCTCTACTAAGACAAATACTACATTATTATTTGGAAGAGAAATAATCTATCGGATAATCTAACATTATAATTTTAAAGTTACAGTCGAATTGTTAAATAATATTTCGGAGTTATACGATTTCTAAGCAAACAGTACAAGCAAATTTATTGGTGACTAGCGTATAATCCTATTGAGTTGGCGATATTGTTTAAAAGCTAAATAAAGTATAAAAACTTACAATTTTTTATAATATGAGTCTAAAATATTTAGTTATACAAATAATAGATTTTTTACATATAAAGATACTTTTCAAATTAATTTTGAATACATTTTCTACTTATACACTATTACCCGTTTATGATTTGTAGATTAATAAATCATATTAAATTTCAGAATTACGAAGTAATTTAATATTCGTTTTCCCCATATACAAATAATTCGTGAGAATTTAGATAATTTATAATAAATCAACGGCAACCTAATTTGAAAGGTTTGAAAGGTAAATTATTGTCTAATTCATATGAACTAAGTGTAATTGAACTTGTATCAATAATCATTTTTTTTTAATTTTGTTCATTATTTGAATAAAATGTCTATAACCTTTATTACTGTATTTGAGTATTTTTTTCAAGTTAAAATATTATAAGTTTGTTTAAATTGGTTCTAAAGATTGATAACATTAGAATAATCTATTAAGTTGAATGTTAAATAATGAACATTTTTTATATTTTATAAATATTCAACGATAATTTATATACTTGCTTGCTCTTTATTTTTAGTATGGATTTCAACATATTTTTACTTCTTCCTCTATGTGCATTAATGTGTAAGAATGAATTATAATACAATTGGTCTAATAATGAATGAGGTCTTATAATTTCTAATTTAAATAATTATAATTTTTTTAAGGTATACAATGCAACTTTCCGACTGTAAATGCCCTAATTGGACCAAATGTTCGACAAGCAGATACTAATGAATTTCCTTTTATTGTTTCATTAGCCCGTCGTAGCTCTTCATATCGTGCAAATGCAAATGATCATATCTGTACAGGAACAGCTATTTCTACAAAACATGTTCTTACTGCAGAAAAATGTGTCCTTGGTAGACTAACTAATGAAACTGTTATCCTTCATGGATCAAATGCATTAATATTCTGTAGGGCGTATAGTATCCAATGGTGGATAACTTTTAACGAGTGGTATACTTATAGAAATGAACCTGCTCTATTTACAGATAATGATATTGCTATTGTAAAGGTAAATTACTCATTAAAAATATATAATCTCTATTTTACTATTAGTGATTAATTAATAATTAGTTATTAATTAGATGTACATACATTATATAAATCAGAAATGCTGAATTCTATTATATTTCTTATTCATTTTCATAAAATTTAACGAATATGAAGATGAATAATTAATATAAAATGTAAAAAAAAGGGGAGATAATGTTTACATAATATTGAAATGAATTTTGTGTAGTTAATTATACCTTTCCTACCAACTTTTGAACCAACAAGGTTAACTGATTTACTAAAGAATCAATTGGTAAATGAACAAGTTACGTTGGCAGGATGGGGTATATCCAGACGTCGCGTTGTAACTCCTAATTTACTAACGCATACTTTGAATGTCATATCGATTGATGAGTGTGAAGCTAGAATTGAACATCTAGGTAGACGAAGAATTGGTATTCATGATAGACTATTTTGTACATATGGGACACCGAATGCTGTATTACAAAATGTTAGTATTTATGTTTTGATAATATGAAAAATATAGAGTAAATTTGATTTTAAATATTAAATTTATTAATGGTGTTTGAAGTATAGCACAAAATTACCATATTCAGTTATTAATGGTTAAATAGCTGAAAAAGTTATTAATTTCCTGATTATAAATGTTATTGAATTAAGACTTTTAAATACTTTCAACCATTATTAAAATTATATTATCTCAATATTATTATTGAATATATAAAATTATTATAAATATATATATGTATAATGAAATTGAAATATTTTTTGCATTATAGGGTGATACTGGTGGACCTGTTTTACACGATGAGAAAATTATAGGTATTCACAAACAAATTCTTCCACGTATGGGAACTGAGTTTCATCCAGGTAAAATTAACATTCACACAAGTATTGATTTCTACAGAGATTTCATTGCAGAAGTCACACATAACACTTTTTTTTGGACGTGAATAATAAGAGATCACGAAATAGTTAACGACGTCTTAGTTGAATTTGAATGTAGACTATAATTTTTCATATATTTTATATATACATATATTTATATATATATATATATACATGTATATATATATATACATGTATTATATATATATATATATATATATATATATATATATATATATATATATATATATATATATATATATATATATATATATACAGCTATTTAAATAATTATCTCTATATTTCATTAAAATGAATAATATAATTAATTAAACTACAATTTATTATTGTTAAAATATCACAATGGTTAAAATATAATTTACATTAATATAAATAGTAATATAATAGTATATGGAGTGTGTAAAATTATATATTATAAATGTCTGACGATGTAGAATAATAAATATTAGCATTAATAAATATTGACCAACCTATATATTAATTTGTATTCCTTTATAACACAGTAATTAAATGTGATTTAATTAAAATAAAATAATATAATATTAATGAAGACTTGCAAATAAATAACAATAGTATTAATGAAGTCACGCAAAATATTTCAGCAATAAATATATATTTATTTTTTAAGAATGAATTAAAATTCATTAATTTTCTAAATCATAATTATATGGTATACTGAAAAATCATGTCTTAACGTTGATAATCGTTATATCTAAAATTATTTATTATTATAAAAAATATATATATATATATATATATATATATATTCCTTATAATGTAAATTCAAATATATATTCACCTATAATCACAGTTTCTCGTTTTAATTTAAAAAAATAACAATTGTTATTGACCTTATATTCTAATAAATTAATATTATAATTATGGATATATTATTTACAACAATTATATTAACTAGTATACAATGTTTTCAACTTCAGTACCAATAATAACTAAATATATGTTACAATATCTAAACAAATAATAAATTATATTGAATTTTCTATTTTTTTAATTATATTTGGTATATTAAAGGCAGAATAAAATAAATACTTTCCATGTCCCAAAATGAAAATCTTTTTATAATAAAGCAAAAATATAATTCATAAAATAATATTGACTTTTTAACACTACAGTTTTATCAATTTTTGAGTAACAGTATTTTTAAACAGGTTTGTAATGTATAAATTGCATATAATACTATATAATACTATTCACTGTCAAATTTAACATTTTGATTAAATTATTATCATTAAATAAACTAAGAGACAACAAAGAATAATAAATTGTGATTTATTATACTATATATATATATATATATATATATATATATTATTTTTATTACATAGTTTATTTTTCATAATAAATTGTGTTTAACAGTAAATATAGAAATCCGCACTTAAAAATTAACAGTTAACCACCAATTTAATATATTTTTGTACGAAATAATACTACCTTATTTTATGATCTATTAGTAATCAATTACTTCATTTATAAAGGTGAATTTTAAATTTCATTCGTATATTTTGAAAGTTTTATAAATTAAGGAAGTTTTTCAAGATATTCTTCCAGAGAGAAAGAAATTTTTTATAACACTAAATCTTCAGTATATGAATATTTTAATATTATATTTATTATACTTTACACTAGATCTTTATTACTCATTTTCAGCATGGAATTCAACATATTATTGCTTCTTGGCATATTTTCAATAATTAGTAAGAATTAATGAATAATACAAATACAATAAAAATATTTAAATATGAATTAATAACTAAAAAGTTATCA